TGTGTATGATTCAGGAAGTACTGAATTTTTTGTTTGATTGACCAATGTTTGTATCTGAGTTTCATTTTGCTCCAGTTAACAATTTAATTTCAACTTCATCTGAAACTTTCTCACAAACCTATTTGATGTTATGGATAATAATTCTTGAGTGTTATTTTATGCATGGGATTTAATCATCAGTGATCTTTCACGGGAAAGTGAAACGGATTTCCAAAAGGAAGGGTTGGGTGTCAAGAATATGGATGCCTCTTTATAGAGTGCAGTGCAAACACTTGAGTGAATGTAGAACAATGCTATGACGAGCTTGTCTTAAAGGTAACTAAAATCCAGTGTACTTTATTCTGTAATTGATATAGCCTGATATTTTTATTAGATAGCCCTGCCTTGAGACAAGTGTACATGTTTGTTTGGATACAAGAGAAACATGGAAGCTAATTAAAGCTTTTGAATTTGGATAATTTAGCTGTTGATAGACTGATATACTCCTGTTCCTGTTTTACTTCTGAGACTTTAAGTAATACCATATAATGTGTTTGCATAATCTTAGATAATATACTAATTTTCTCTCTTACAAACTTACCTCAGATAAATGGCACAAAGTGCATTTTGGTTAGCGTGTATAATTGAAGGGAAATATGCAGTATTCTAACATGATTAAAAATCAGCATACAAATTTGTTTTTGCCTATGTAATTATTTTGATCATACAAATAATTATTTTTGACATTCAAGTGTTGGGACATGTATAATTGCTAATATCACTAAATCATTTGATTCATAGTAAAATTGCTAGAATCTTTCTGCATTTTTTTGGGCATGGATAGGGTATCAGTTTTCTCTGGTATTTGGGCTACCTTTTAGTGGTTGTGGGTGAGACTTTATGTTGTTTAAACTCATCAAAATGGGTTTTGAATTTATCTTTTAATTTGCAGGGATAGTGTAGGGTTGAGATGGAAAGAATATTTCCTTCCTGGTTAGAATTTGATGCTCTGAGAACTATGGTTGTCTATCTGAATTACTGCACGTCTATTGCGATAGGCTGAGGCAAGGCACAATGTGGCCTAAGGTTGGATTGTTTTCATCATCACCATGTCCTCCCATTTTCAAATATGTGAAAGGAAATTAATTACAAATGCCCTGCCACAATTCTTCAATGTTCTTTCTATGTTAAAAAGTCTGTAATTTGCATAATATAAACTAATAGATTATTTTATGGAATCCACATCTTGACAGAAGTTATTAAATCTTAGGCTCAGATTATTAAATCCTAGAACCATGTACTGACAGGAAGAATCAAGCATATCATGCCCAATCCATTTTGCATGAACAAATCAAATTTAACATTTGAATTCTATTGTCTCGCAGATAAAAGCCACCTACAAAATTTTTAGGGATGCATGAAAGTACTTCATGCTGTAGAAGTTGTTATAAGGTGTGATAAAGTACTTAGTTGGGATTGAGCAAATCCCAAGTCCTTAAACTAGATTAGGGGGGGGTTAAAATTCAGATACCTCCTAAAAAAAAAAGAAAAACCAAAACCTGATTACAGAGGAGGTAGGTTCTCCAGGTAAATTGGAAATAAGAGGATCTCCCAAACCCAAGGCCTGGAGGTTAAATACACTACCTTTGAATTCAATTGCCTAGTAAATAAAAGACTCTTACAAAATTTTGCAGGATATAAGTACTTCCTGCTGCAAATTTTGTTTTAAGGTGTGATAAAGTGCTTGAAAATGTATGAAAGTTATATCAAATAATAGCACTTCTTATATTTTATTTCCTTATATCCTTAAAACACATGACAAATTTCAATACATATCACTTATCTAGTTTGTCATGCTATATGCAAAAGTGAAAATCTGACCCAATATTAATTTCATATCAATATAAATTGTGATTCTATACCAACAAAAGCACGTACTAGATGGAAGAGAAGTAGTGGACTGCAAAAGTTTTAATCAAAAGATTTGGATATTTATGTTATAAAAAATCACTTAATTAAATTTTCTTCAAACAATTCTATATCTATTTATGATATTACTGTGAAGAATTTGGTGCTAGTGCATTGAAAAATATCAATCAGTGAATGAACGGCCTCTTCTTTATTATTAGAAGGTTTCTCTTAATATAATGATTTGTGTTTTATAGTCTAATATAATATCAAGTCTATAAAATACTGTTTTGTACTACTAATTACAATTTCATTTTTAACATCTGAGTT